ATTTCAAGTCATCCCCCCTAGTCCTTTCACCACATGCCCTTGCAAAAATCCCTCTCCATTTTCTTGTAGGTTCCCTTGAGGTACTGGAAGGCCAGTCTTAGGTCACCCCAAAGCCTTCTCTTCTCCAGGCTGATCAATCCCAATTCTCTCAACCTTTCCTCATAGGAGAGGTGCTCTATTCTCTAATCATCTTGGTGACCCTCCTCTGCACTCACTCCACCAGGTTCGTGTCCTTCCTGTGCTGAGTATCCCAGAGCTGAATGCAGTACTCCAGGTGAGGTCTCACCAGAGCAGAGTAGAGGAACAGAATGATTTTGACTGCTGTGTAACTGTATAACATGACTCACTAAGCCATTCCTGATGAATTGGAAAGTGATCAATTTCTGAAGCGTTAAAAACAAAGCTAAGCAAAGACAACTACTTTTACATCTTAAAACCAGCCAATATTTTCTTATGCTTTCTAGTTAATTAAAAAGACTGATTAATCATAACACAGGAATGCCTATAATTCTGACTTTAAAAGTTCTGACTTTCTAATAAAGTATTGAAGTAAGAAAACACTTTTCTGAGCTTTTCTGAGCTTGTCTTTGGCTTCTTCTTTTCTCATATACATAGAAGGAAGCTGTCTCAGTTCCAAGTGTCAGACAGTGCAAAAGGAACAAGGCATAATTTCTTGACCAAAGTATCTATTATTCTGAAATTCCTAGAGGAATCATAAGGAAAACTGAGACTATAGACTTCTAAACAAAAATAACTTCTTCCAGGGAACAGGATCAATCGTTAATCACATTGAGTGAAGTCTTTAATGCAATGTCTGGGTTTAGTAATTTCACAGAAAATTTTGGAAGAGGGAGATTCCTGGATCTTAGTTATGTTCCCATGAAATTACCAAACATATCATTACGGTTTCAAACAGCATATCTTTAGGAACTTTCCCGGCAAGACAATCTTTAACCTTCATCACTGCAGGCCCTCTGCATTTCTGTCTTTCTTTCACAGGCTTTCCATCTCTAATGAAGTTGAACACTTGCAATATGGGGAAAAATGACCTGTGAAACACTGAATTATACAGTGTTTGTAGCATTACAGAACAGTTATTTTTTTAGAAAGGAGGGGGATGTTGAGGTAATCATCTGTTCGGCTCTATTAAACCTCTATTTTTCATGCACCTTAGCTTACCAAAGACTTTGTTGCTAAAAATATAGCTAATGCCAATCACCATGGTTTCACGAAAGAGAAGTCTTTAAAAAAAAATATGTGACCTTTTTAAGCAAAATTGTAGGTCCACTTTGTAGACTCTGCTAGGATAATAGTGCATACTTCAGCTCTTTATCATATGGTATTTTGATTTGAGAGCTTGCGTTGTAAGGAATGAAGTAACTACACATCAAACAGAAAAATTGCTGAGAGACCTTATAAAGTAATAGTAAATAGCTAGACATTCTCTAGTGGGATGTGTTTCTAGCAGATCTTCCTTGGTTTGATTCTGTTTAAAATCCATGTCAAAAGTCTTGCAGGGCCACAAAAATAAAACAAAGGCTAGAAGACAAGTCTCATCATTTAAAGAGTTCAATCTCCTCAATTTATTAAAGAAAAAGCTGAGACATGACTTGACTGATATGTATACTCACAGTTAGAAGAAAGACCTGAGAGAGGGGAGCTTTTCAACTTTGGAGGAAATGAATAATAAAATTCAGTGAATGAATAACAAAGTTAGACAGACTCAGCATTGGAAGTAAATAGTGTGGTGTAATTAAAGATTAGGACAGCTACTATGAGAAAATCTGCAAGCCTATGCACAAAGGAGGTGTGATGAGATGATCACAAATGGCACATTATGGCCTTGAAATCTATGCGAGTGTGGACTTTCTGATTAAACACAACATAAAAATTGACATTTTCAGAATATATTGCATATGGTGTATTGATTTTTTTATATAAAAAGTTATAAAGTTGCTATTTCTTAATAGCAACTTTTATTTGAGATTAAAGAGAGGCAGTTATATAATGTCCTAGGATTGACTACACATATCAAACGTTCTATTTGTAATACTAACTAAAATTTCTTAAATGTTCCCCCTCCACTTCCTTTTACCTGTTCCATATTAGTGGTGCTGACATTGCTATGCTTCAGGTTACGTATTGTCTTCTGACTTTATTTCTGAGATGATTCAGCTTTGCTACATGACATGGTTTGCATTATAGCAGTTGTCAAAGCTTAGAAAATACCACAGAACTTCACCTCTTTCTTAAATAGGAAGCGAGATGCAAGACGCAAACCATTGGATATAGCCTTGTCTGCCACTCCACAAAATACCGTCAGTGTATTAATTTAAATAGCATAGTCACTCCACTCTGCTGTACTCTTTCTCAGGGGAATTTGTCTCCTAGTTGAATCTCCTGTTGTGTAAGTAGATGTCTTTCAATGGGAAGCGTGTGAGAGACACTCCATCAGACTTTCCTGAAACTCTCCCCAGAACACATTATGGTGGTCTAGCTATTTTTAATTTGTGGCCTTTCCATTAACTAACATAGATCCCAGAGGAGAATCCAGCATCTGAGCAGATCATCTACTGATCACAGACTTATTTTTGTCTTTTTTCTGATCCCCTCCAGAATCAAGAAACCTCTCCTGTATATATGTCCTTTAAACTCCCCTGAATTTTGACTGCCTTGGCTCTGAGCCATTTAACACATGTCATGTGCAAGAATTTGTTTGGTTTTTCAATTTGTTTTTGAAAACTTGTAAGGTTTCTGATAAATTTAGAATACACAGTAGAAAGCAAATGGCATTTCCAAAACTAGTGGACACCACTCCATAAGTTTCTCTGCTGTGTGTACTGCATGTACACTGAATGACACATGATGCATTCAGGGAACTTTCTATAAGGGCACTAGGACTGGTATGTCAGGTTCATGAGCTTTGCAGAAAACACAGTAGTGCAAAGAGCTGTTCATTTTGATCTGAATTTACAGTGACAAACAAGCATTAAGTTAGACAGCCTGCTTTCACAGTGGCAGCATTACTTTTCTCAAAGATGGTAACCCTTTCTTTGGGGATAAAAACATCAATTGCTGATGTATTTGGTGTTTCCTGAGCGTTTCCTAACTACCAGAAAAGCAACTTTCATTCTCATATATTCTAAGCCCATGCCTCACATCAACACACGTTGCAATGTGTTACTGTTTTCACAAAAGTGCAGGATTCACAAAGGTGCAGGAAGCACCATATTTGAAAGAACAGAGCATTTCTCTACCCTGTTGCTCAGAAAAAAAATCTGCCCTTCTCCACATCCTCCCTGAACTGCTGCAAGTCTGACTCCCTCGTGCTAGGTTTTATGACTGGACCCTTGGACAAATGCCATAGGTCCCTTCATACAACTGCAGTAGGCCAAGATCATTGTTTGTTGCAGAGAAGAATTGAGTGTAGCCAGAAATAGGAGCCTGTAAGTAGGGAAAGAACATCAGGCAGCAGCACTTCTTGACTGGCAATTACAACCTGAACAACATAGTTCCTGTACTAGAGTTGATGTGACTTTGAGTGTGCAACCATGAAACCACAAAAAAAGGTTCTATAGTGAGCTGGTAACATCCATGAAAACACATAAACATCTGTGACTTGACTTTAAACATTTGTAAAGAAAAATTATGTTTCCTACAGAACTACAAACTCTTTTTTATAGAAATGAGAAACAGAGTACCGTTGGAATATCATATGCAAATATTTTATTAATTTGGAAGCATTTAAGTATAGTTCTTTCCTAGATGTTATATTACAGTTCAGCTCCATGTTTAGTACTCCAAGAGGGTTTGATTATGCAAGAAGACATTCTCTATTCCTGATTCTTTTTCATCAGGAGTTAAAAGTACTTAGAACTTTTCACAACCAAGTGATTTAGAAACACTCAAGATTACCTAATATTGTTTTACTGTGTATGGCAACAATTTTTATAGCCATAGAATTGAATATTCTAAAATCTACTGATTCTCTTCACAGTGTGTACTAGAAACACCAGGAAGACAAGCACTACAGAGAGATAATATATTCTTAAATAAAAATTGTAATATCACAGAAAGAAATGGATATAAATTCCCTTAATAGATGTAGGCTGGAAATTAAAAGGCAGTCATTAAACCATAGAGGTTATGGTGCAATTAAGTATGAGCTTATGTACTAAAAGAAGTAACACATTTTTAGGTTAAACCTTCATCTTTATAAAACTTAATATAATGTATAGGTACTTACAATAACTGGAATTGAAGTCAGTGACCCAGAAACCTCCCTTGTCTGACTTCTTTTCAGTCCCACAGAAATTTCTGAAACATTCCCAGGAGAAACGTGTTGCAAGTGATGCTGCTTATGTCAATAAAGAATAATAAATTTTTATTACAAGAAAATTTTGAATAGTTGCATCCTTATTCAAATCTGTATTACATTTCTTTTGTTCTTTCTGTCTTATGCAATCTACAATAATTCAGTCATAAATACTTATGTTTCAGATCATACTTAAAGGAATATGAAATGTTGAAGATCATAGTTTCCTTGTCTTTGTATGATAAGATTTGTTTTCTAATTTTATTGAATTATTATGGCATATTGCATGCAAAAAAATCCATTTTCTATTGAAGCCAGGTAACACCTGAGAAGTGAATTTAGTAAAGCAATGTAAGGATTAGAGAGAGTTAAGCACAAATGCAGGCTTCCAGCAAAGCACATAGAGCTCAGTATTAGGAAACAGTGGAGGCAATAAATCCACTAGGATACAGGACACTTTGACATGAGGGAACATGGGCATGAACAGAGAGAACTAGAAATGCTAGCACACACAAAAAAGGACATATGGAAGAAAACAAAGGGAGATAAGAAAAGGGACAAGCCAAGAAATCAGGAACTTCTGCCAGACACTGGAAATCCCTGCCAAATGCACGAGGAAACTACCCAAATTAGGGAAGGTTCAAAAGTTTAAGAGGAGGATGATGGTGAGGACAGCAGGTTCATGATGAAGGAAGAACGGAACGACCACCAAAGTTCTCCCCAAATTGAAGACCACGCCTCTAACTCCGCCTCAACTCCGCCTGTTATGAATATTAAAAGTAGATGTTGCAATGTAATGAATATTCATAATATGTGATGTAATTGCTTAGCAAAAAGTGTATAAAAGCTCAAATTGTAAGTTCCTCGGCGAAGCGGTTTGTCCAGGGCGACCTGGCCGCTTCCCGGCCGTGAAAATAAATACCTCCTGCTTATAGACTGAAAACTCTGTCTCTGAGCAGTCTCTCTACGCCTTCTTTGGGGCATAAATTTGGCATCAATCTTGGCGACCGCGGCAGGACGGGGGGGTCTTCCTGAGCCAGGACCCAAGGGGCCGGGACGCTCTCGGGGCCCCCCGACTGAATTATTGTCGGTAGAGTCTCCCAGACCCCTTGGATCTGCGCAACGGTGGACAAGAACCTCCTGCTCCAAATTAAGAGGTATTTGATCTTTTATATTTTAGGTAAAAGCGCTTTATTGGTGGGGATAGGACGCTATCGCCCAAAAGGGAGCCGGAGGGACGCCTCGGCATTAGCCCTAAAAACTGGGTTCGAGTCCCAGGTATTAGAAGCAGCAGGTTAGAGTCCTGCAAAGAGAGCAGGTTAGAGTCCTGCAAAGAGAGCAGGTTAGAGTCCTGCAAAGAGAGCAGGTTAGAGTCCTGCAAAGAGAGCAGGTTAGAGTCCTGCAAAGAGAGCAGGTTAGAGTCCTGCAAAGAGAGCAGGTTAGAGGCCTGCCAGAAAAGGGTTAAAGTCCCAACACAGCAGAGAAAAAAAAAAAAAAAAAAAAAAAAAAAAAAAAAAAAAAAAAAAAAAAAAAAAGAGAGGTTCTATTACTTGTGGCATTCTGATTGTTATTTGTATTGTTTTGTTTGCCTTTTGTGTATCATAGACTATTTTGTAAAATATTGTGAGTGTCATAGACTATTTTGCTCAACTATTTTGCTAAATGTTTAGAGTTCTATATGAGAAGTGATGTACCTTTTGTGCTTTTGTGTATTGTCTGGTAATGTGTTTCTTCAAAGTGCTTTTGCTTTGTGTTTTCTCGTCCGCTTTCTGTTTTGTGTGGAATAATGTCCAGTAATGCATTTAAAGTTGCGTCTGACTTAAAGATTTGGGAGACTAATGGTCCTTAACATTCCCTTCTAAGCTGTCTCAAGATTTGAGAGTGTTTCCTTCTGATTTTCTTGAGACAAGGGGCTCTAGGACCCGGAGAAACCTCTAGTCCTACTGAAGAATTCCTGGAATGCGGTAGCTAGAGATAATGTACTGTGATTTCTTCGTAATGTTTCATTTTTATATGCTGCTTTTTACAAGCTGTTCTGGTCTGTGTTAAAATTGTAGTTTGTTTGATTCTGCTCTTAAGTGGCAATTCAATAGAAAACTTTAAAGAACTTAAAAGTGCAAATGTGTGTGTGAGTGTCTGAGATGCAGCATCATCGTGAAGCGATTGCAGAGCTAGAAACAGATAAAGCAGCTGGATGTTGTATGTATGAAGTGCTGAGACAAAGTAAAAGGTATTTTAAGACAGTGAAATAAATTAGGAAAAGTGTAAGCTTGCTGTGATAGTGTAAAAGAATTTATCAGACAATCAATTTAGAGAAGAGACGAACTAGAGTACAACCTCTAGTGATTTAAAATATTTGCAACTGGAAACCAGTTCAAGAACACGACTCCTGGATCAACTGGTATATTACTGATGCTCAAATAATTGAAAGGTCCAGGGAGAATCTGTCCTTGAAAGACTAACATTTGTCAGCAGTAACTAGTACATTATACATAGATATTTTGTGTATGATGCGGTGAGACAGATTGAGAAATCCCAGCTAAGTGCATAATTGCCAGCAAAGTAAGGAAAGCAGCCTACTAGAATCAGGAAGGGAGGAGAAAGAGAGCACCCTGCAAAAGTCAGAAAGAGATAGGGAAAAAAGTAACCCTCAGAAACCAGGAAGGGATGAAAGAAAAGAAGACAGAAAGCATAAAGATAAAACAGATACCGAAAGCTTAGAGAACGATCAAGAGGAAAGGATTGGCTATTCATATTGTACCAGGACTGCTGAACGGAAAACCAAGGACAAGGAGGGAGAGAAAGCAAAAATAATTAACTGGGCAGCTCTTTATAATGTTAGACAAGGGCGAGATGAGACGCCTTCGGAATTCTTAGACAGACTTAGAGCTGCCATGAGAATATATACACCCTCAGATCCTGTGTCAAAAGCAGGTAAACAACAATTACTAGTATTATTGATGGCACAGAGTAACCCAGATATTAGAAAGAAGCTGCAAAAACTCCAGCATCTTGCAGATGAAAATTTAGAGACAGTAATGAATGAAGCTTGGAAAATTACAACCACAGAGAGAGAGAAGAAAAAAAAAAAAAAAAAAAAAAAAAAAAAAAAAAAAAAAAAGATGAGAAAGTTGCTAAAGTTGTAGTGGTAGCAGTAGCAGCCCAAAGCTCAAGATTCCCGGAGATAAATACTAGAGGCAGAGGTCGTGGTTACCCTGCAAAGGGAATAGGAGGTTTCCTTTCCCAACAAACCAGAATAAAGTCAAAACAGTGTTCCTATTGCTTGCAAATAAGTCACTGAAAACGAGACCGTCCTAAATTAAATAGGAAGTTTAAGAGTGCTACTGTCCCCTATCAGAGCAGTGACTGAGGAGGACCGGTGAGTCGTTCCCTAGCAGACCCACTAGTTAAAATGGAGCTAGGGGAGGGTGAAAAAGAATTAGAGTTTTTAATCAACACAGGAGTTATATTTTAGTTTTGAATCAGGAACTAATGCCAAAAGTGACAAATTTGTGGGAGCGACAGGCCAACCAGAAAAAAAAAACTACTTTTTTAAAACCTCTTAAGCATAAAATTGAGAAACAAATAGAAGATTATAGATTTTATAACAATACCCACTGAAGCTAAAAGATAAGAAAGGGAATCGAACTGATAATAGAGAAATTTTTAGAATGAGAGTTACTCAATTAACCTGGACAGTTTTACCTCAAGGTCAAAGGCCACAGAGAGATGGTACTCTTCTAATGTAGATGATCTGCTAATAGCAACTGGGACAGAAGAAGAATGTGTTAAATGGACTATTTCTCTGTTGAATTTCCTGGGTTTAAGCAGATATCGAGTCTCTCAACAGAAAGCGCAGTTGGTGCAAGAAAAAGTAGTGTACCTGGGATATGAAATTTCCAGAGGACAACGATCCCTAGGAACAGCAAGAAAAGAAGCCATCTGCCAAATGCCTAAACCCGAAACGGTGAGAGATCTACGAGCCTTTCTAGGGATGACAGGTTGGTGCCGTTTATGGATTTATCAATACGGGATACTCGTTAAACCACTGTATGATTTGCTGAAAGAGTCTAAGAGTGTCCTAGTCTGGACTCCCGAAGCAGAGGGAGCTTTTAAGAGACTGAAACACGAACTCATAAAAGCTCCAACCTTGGGCCTGCCCGATGTAACAAAACCATTTTAGCTGTTCTCTCATGAATGGCAAGGAATGGCTTTAAGAGTCTTGGCACAACAGTTGGGACCACACAAAAGAGCCGTGGCTTATTTCTCCAAACAGTTGGATGAAGTAAGCAAAGGATGGTCCAGCTGTCTGAAAGCGGTGGCCGCAGTGATCATAAACATAGAAGAGGCCAGAAAACTTACGATGGGTCAGAAAATGACTGTGTTAGTGTCCCACACTGTGTCCGCTGTACTAGAACAAAAAGGTGATCATTGGCTGTCGCCTTCCAGATTCCTAAAGTACCAAGCAATCCTAGCTGAGTCAGATGATATAACCATTCAAGTCACTAACATTGTGAATCCAGCCTCATTTCTAGAAGGAAGAATGTCAGCAGAATCAATCGAACACGACTGTCTAGAGACCATCGAAGCTGTCTACTCCAGCCACCCAGACCTCAAAGAAGATACAGACAACTTGTTCTCTGACGGCAGTAGCTTCGTGAAGCAAGGAGTAAGGATGGCAGGCTATGCAGTAACCACAACGGAAGAGGTAATCGAATCAAATCCTTTACCGACAGGGACTTCAGCCCAGAAGGCAGAACTGATAGCTCTTACCCGAGCCCTGGAATTAGCAGAAGGCATACGAATTAATATTTGGACAGATTCAAAATATGCTTTCTCCTTCATGCACGCTCATGGAGCAATTTAGAAAGAAAGAGGACTGCTAACTGCTCAAGGGAAAACAGTCAAACATGCAGAGGAAATTCTACAATTGTTAGAAGTAGTCCAACTCCCAACACAAGTGGCCATAATACATTGCAAGGGACACCTGAAAGGTAACACTGTTCCAGAAATAGGAAATAGGAAAGCTGATGCAGAAGCTAAATTAGCTGCTGCAAGGACCGAAGAAGTGACTGTAACAGCTTTAGTACCAGGAGAGCTAGATCCTAGCTTTCAACCAGATTATCAGGAATCAGACCATAGGTGGATTCAAAAGAACAAAAGCAAATTGTTAGACAATGGATGGGGTCAATTAGAAGGCACATTAGAGTTTAGATCCACTTTATCAGTATTTGCAAACTAGAATAGCAGGACCAAATTATTCACTACCATAAAACAGGTTACATCCCAGTGCAAACGATGCCTGAAGAATAACCCAAACACAGGGACCAAGATACACCAAGGGGCAATAAATTGAGGTAAATTCCCAGGTGAAGTATGGCAAATTGATTTCTCTGAACTCCCAAGAAAAGGGGGGTATCGGTATTTATTGGTGCTAACTGATACGTTTTCTGGGTGGCCTGAAGCATTCCCCTGCAGAACAAAGAGAGAGAGGTAACTAAAGTCTTACTAAATGAAATTATACCACGGTTTGGAGTACCAAGAAGTATATCCTCAGACAGGGGTTCACATTTCTGTGCGAAGGTTGTGAAAGCAATAAGCAAAGCACTGCAAATTAAATGGCAATTGCATACGCCCTACAGGCCACAAGCCAGTGGGCAAGTAGAAAAGATGAATCATCTTATCAAACAACAAATTGCTAAAATATGCCAAGAAACTAACTTCCAATGGTATCAAGCTTTGCCTATTGCTCTGATTAGATTGAGAGTCAAACCTCGATCAAAAGAAAAGCTGAGCTCGTTTGAAATTCTGTATGGTAGACCTTATACTATGCAAATTGTGAATAGTGATGCTATAGACCAAATAGGTAATCAATATATATATGATTATGTAATTGCTGTAGGGAAACATTTTGATAAAAACACCATGGTAGTAATAGAACACCAGCCCAAACAACCTAACTGTAAACTGCATCCGTTTAACCCCGGTGATTGAGTGTATGTTAAGAATCTTTTAGGAAAACCCCTACAAGAGAAGTGGGAGGAACCTTTCCAAGTGCTGCTGACCACCTTCACCACAGTGAGGATCAAGGAGCGACCTACATGGATTCACTATTCTCGAGTCAAGAGAGCTCCGGAAGATAAGCAAGAAGACCCAACATTATGAATCCGACTCCCTTCCAAACCCTTTCAACACTGACCATTGGACTCTTGATAAGTATTGTTTTATCCCAAAACCCTACTCCAGAAGGGCTGTAGTCTAGTGCATGCACACTACCACGCTCTGAGGAAAACCCAGATTTTGAGATTTACGTTTTACATAACAATATTAGTGAATAAGTTAAGTACCATCACTTCTAATTTGGGAAAGCTTTAAGCTCATCTATGCTAACTTTAGCAGAGACACAATCATTGGTGGTCAGATTGATGACCTTAGTAGCCAACCACACTGCTGAAGATTTTGTTAAAATTGCTGACTATACTGGAGATATTAGCAAAGAAATTGCACTTGCTATCCGGTGTGTTCAGACACAGCAGTGGGTACAATCAGTAGCAGCAGGAATATTAAGAGAAGGAATGTCAGGCATATTGCCTCAGGAAATAAGGGAAACTATATTAAGAGACAGCTCCACTACACAGTTTGAAAGAGAACACCAGGCTTGGTGGCAACTAGTTAATTTCACTTATGATCCACAACAGAAACATATTGAAACCTATGTCCTTACTATTAGTGCCGCAGAAGAGAGAGCTATATTTCCTGTTTTAACATTAGGGGCTATACATCAGAATGTTATTGTCAAACCTGTAGACCATAACGTTTGAGCAAATTATGATGGTACTAAGAACAAGTGGCAATCAATTAGTACAGAAGCATGTATTCCTAAAGGGCAATTAGGTTACATTTGCGAAAATGCCATTGTAGAAGCCGAAGACCTATGCTTAGATGCTGAAGACAGTGTATGTACCTTTGAAATGCTCCCACACAACAGGGCCCAATCACAAGTATTCTATATAGGGAATGGATGCGCTTGCATTAGAACCGCTTGCAACAATGTTACTATAGATGATTGCCATGAAATGACTAACGATACTAACTTTTGCATATGCAACTTCACAAAAGTCGTGGGTTGTGACTTTAACTGTTGTGTAGTTAGTTAATCGAAGCCGAGTATACTTTATATCATGAGATACCCAAGCTACAGATAGGCATGGATGTTAAGCTTCTCAAAGAGATGCTTGTGCATCCTGAGGTAGAAAAGTTAGTTCAGAAGGTGAATCAAACGACTCAACGCATGTTGTGGCAAGTAGAGCATAATTCTAAAGGTATAAAAAATATCCTGACAAAAGTCGCACAAGTAGGCCAACATCATTGGTGGGATATCTTCACAGGATACTCCCCAACAGCAACACAAGTCTTTCACTACCTGATACACCCAGTGCTAATTATAACCATGGCCATGCTCCTGTTAACCCTTATGAATATATGCCTGTAGTGTAAGTTAAAGTCCATAGTCAAAAGAACCCAAATAATCTGGGCGATGGTAAAAGCGTATCAGCGCCCTTTAGAATTAGAACTTGACGAAAGAATTCGTAAGTTTTAGAAAAGGGGGGAATGAAGCCAGGTAACACCTGAGAAGTGAATTTAGTAAAGCAATGTAAGGATTAGAGAGAGTTAAGCACAAATGCAGGCTTCCAGCAAAGCACATAGAGCTCAGTATTAGGAAACAGTGGAGGCAATAAATCCACTAGGATACAGGACACTTTGACATGAGGGAACATGGGCATGAACAGAGAGAACTAGAAATGCTAGCACACACAAAAAAGGACATATGGAAGAAAACAAAGGGAGATAAGAAAAGGGACAAGCCAAGAAATCAGGAACTTCTGCCAGACACTGGAAATCCCTGCCAAATGCACGAGGAAACTACCCAAATTAGGGAAGGTTCAAAAGTTTAAGAGGAGGATGATGGTGAGGACAGCAGGTTCATGATGAAGGAAGAACGGAACGACCACCAAAGTTCTCCCCAAATTGAAGACCACGCCTCTAACTCCGCCTCAACTCCGCCTGTTATGAATATTAAAAGTAGATGTTGCAATGTAATGAATATTCATAATATGTGATGTAATTGCTTAGCAAAAAGTGTATAAAAGCTCAAATTGTAAGTTCCTCGGCGAAGCGGTTTGTCCAGGGCGACCTGGCCGCTTCCCGGCCGTGAAAATAAATACCTCCTGCTTATAGACTGAAAACTCTGTCTCTGAGCAGTCTCTCTACGCCTTCTTTGGGGCATAAATTTGGCATCACTATATTTAAATAATTTATTCAAAATATATCATATTTCCATAAAATAAAATGAAAACTATGAATATTTCATAGCCTGGAAATCATAAATTAAGCATTTTGCTATGAGTTTCTGCTACTAAATACTGAAAATCTGATTAATTGCAGCTTAAGCTAGATGATTTCCTTATGTTGAATAATGTTATGTTTAGGTGTACTAAAGCAACTGATTCTTTTGGTTTTTACTTTTCTGTTTATCTTTCACCTTTTTATGTCCTGTTTCAGAAGGAATATGATAGTGAAAAAAATGCAGAACATCAAAAAAAAAGCTCTAGCAAAAGAAGTCCCAAGTGTAGGATGGAATTATACAGCAAAATCAAAAATAGATGCTGGCAGTGTGAGAAAAGGGTCTTTATCAGTCTACCAGCAACATTCTGGCTGGAGTCTTCCCTTAGGAAGGGAGACTTGTGTAGGAGACTCGAGCCTTGGTTTTCAGTGTACAGATGCATAATCTTTATTAGCAGCTGATTTCATTAGATCTGGTTTATTGTATAAAACAGTCAAACAGTCACGGGTTTGGAAAATGCCAGGCATAACGACAAGATCTGCAAATTTCTCTGTTGAAATGGACATGGCAGGGATTTGCTCTTGTGTTCACTACATGAATGTTTTAAAACCACTGACTGTTTTGGGATGGAGTATTTTTTTTTTTTTCCCATGAAAATTTAAAGAAAAAATATTGCTGCTTCGTTAGCAATTCTGGATATATGAAATATTTTGGATGTAAGGAAAACTGTCACCCAATCAGCTCTAGAAGTCCAAATATAAAATGAAAGTAATCTCTCCAAGGGAACTGCTCTGCAGAGTACCCAGCATAAATTTTCAGAACTTTAGGTAATGTAAAGTTGATAGGTACATACATAAAACACAAACTTAAAATAAATGTATGTCTAAAACTCCATTTAGTTCTTTGGCCATTAACAAGTGGAAAATTTTTTTTCAGAAATCTGACTGCAAGAGATCAAAAGTAAATAAGAATAATGATAGACATCAGGGGACTTCACAGTATTTTATGTGTGGACACTTTCTCATGCCTTCTTTAATTTCTCTTTAAAAAGTAACCCTAAAAGAGGCCATTTTGGCTCCTCCATGTAAGCTACAGGAAGACAACAGAAGACGTTACCGCTGGACAAAAAAGATTGATTCTGTTCACTTTAAAGTCTTATATTTCAAATAAACTTTTTCACAATGGTTAAGAATGAAAACAAAATAATTTTAAGGTTTCTAGCAAATTGGAAAGCTGATAGAAATAAATAAAGTATAAAACCACTGAGAACAGGAAAAAATAGTTTTGAAAATAATGTTTCTAAGATAAATTATAAAATTAATCGAATATTTGAAACAAAATAAGATTATCCCTAAAGTAGAAAATAAAAATATTAACTATGACTAATCTGGTTTTTTATCTGTTTCAAATGCAGTAATTTAATATGTGTATGTTGAGAAATCCACCTTTTTCAGTGAATTTTTCTTTCTGGAACAGTTGTTACAGGAAGTTCTTTTATTGTTAGACACAGCAATGTCTGAAAGTTGCCTTACACAGGTGAATTCTGATATACAGCAACCCTACAAGTACAAAATTAGGTATGTGGTCTGATCACTTTTGTTTTGCAATAGCCAGGGGTGCAGAGTCAGGAATCTGACTTTGCTTTAATTTCTGGATTTCCTGATAAAACCCAAAATTGAAAATGTGTAAGAAATAAATCTTACACATCAATATTTACCATCAATATTTAAGAGAAATAATTTTTATTAAAAAATCTGAATTGACTGCATAAAACAAATCAGTCTGTGATAATGGAGTGTCCTCAAGCTGCTTGAAACTTGAAACCACTGTAGAAAGAAGGAAATTTTGGTGTGGGGAGGCATACACGACCTTTTTGAGGAAAACATTTTACTTTTCAGTGTTATCAACATATTACTTTTAAGTAAGACAGAAAAATATAACTTTCAAATGCACTGTTTTTCCTGATAAAGGAGCCTGTTTCTTTTGCTTAGGGCTTACAGGCACTCAACACAAGTTGCAGGACTTGGTGATCTTGCAAGAAGACATGGTTGCACGGCTCAGCTCTTACTTCTAGTTATTCCTCTGTAGGAATGAGGCCTAAAGCTCTCTTTGGATGACTAACATTCAGTAATCCTTTCAGTATGATACTACCACAACTACTGACAACCTAAAAGACTGAAATGGGATTTTATTAAGATGAACTTGAAGCATTGCAAAAACATATCTTTCCTGTCAACTTGGTTTCTGATTCCTGACAAGGAACTACAGAAACAAAAGATCATCTTTTCTATTTCATGATTTTAACACATAGAATTCCACCTATCTGTCCTAATAAAAGGATTATGCTTTCCTTTTTGTCTGGGATGTTGACAGCTGATTATTTGCTTTTAAGTTATGACAGCAAAGAGAAAACTCTAAAATTCTTTCTACTATTTCTTTTGGGAAAGATTGTAGTTCTAATGCACTGTTCCTCTTTTTATGATCCAGCGAAGAGAATGCAAAAATTGGAATATATGAATTTTAAAATGTTATTTAAAAGAATTTATGGTTAACAGTATTTTAGTTTAAAAAAGGTGTTCTTTGACCCCTGAAACAGTGCTTACTCACAACATATAAGTCAAAAGAATCATAGTCATGATCAAACACGATAGAAGTTTGACAATAATAATTATTACTGTTGTGGATTTTTAATTGCACTCTCTCAATGTTGGACTCAGAACTGAATTGAAATACTTTTAGTTTATCTCTAACTGCAACAAATAACTGATAAACTCAAATGTGGTTGCACATTTTGCATGATTTTCCTTCCCTTTCCTTACATTTCCCATTTTCCACTTTTTAAATTTATAGAATCAGCTGTTCTTCAATTTGCCTTCTACCTTTCTTATTCAAAAATTGTTAAACAGGTTTAAATTCATGTAAGAATGTATCTTCACAGAATTTCTACCCCATTTTGCAATGTACAATCACCTGCACTTGCCTTTTGTGACCTGGGAGCATCTGGTTTTCTGTCTTTTGAAATTTCTTGTGTAACTACTTGTTGATTTAGTTGCAGTTTTATATTAGCAGTGACAACCTACTTGTTCTGAGTTGCATTTCTCCACTAGACTGCAAAGGATTTACGGGGAAGTGAAGCATGGTTCTCCTGCCCTTTGGCATGTGTGTTTCTGCTAGCTGGCACATGGAAAAATATGCTGAAGTGATCCATCATGGACAGAATAATTTACCTGTTTAATTTAATTTTTCTGTGGCATTAGTTGACATCATCTCTATTACCACTTTCCTCTTCTGATTTTGCAGAGAGAAATTCTTGCCCACATTCCTTTGACTGCTTTAAATCTGTGTCCCATGGTGTACCTTTCAGAAGTTGAAGAAATAATCTACTGCAAGTAAGAGCATAATCTTAAGTAAGTAGAAGAAAACTGTTCTCTTCTGACCCAGACCAGGAGTTAAATGTGGAATTTTTGTTGTGTAATCTTCCCTCTGTGTGTCTAAGAGCAGGTACTGATCATTACATTATCTTCAGGCTTGACTCATCCTCGTGTGCCCTCCATGGGGCTACTTCTATAGGCAGATGGGATAAATACAGCACCTCAGGTTTCTGAGATTTCTGTCTGATCCCATATAAACAATTTAGCTAACTGTCACACACAGCTTATCTCTGGTTCAGCATGTGGGAAACCTTTTTTGACTGTCTTGTTTTGAGACCTGGCAAAAACTAGAGTAAGAACTGTTTCTTCTAGTTGCACTCATAAAACTGGTCAGCGCATTTCTGTATTTCCTGGAGCTTTCTGTCAAAGCTGTAAAGCTGTTCATGGTGATGGATTGTGCCTCCTGTTCCACAGATCTTTCTGTGTTGTAGTAAAGTTGTGCTCTACACTAACCTCAAACAACATTGCCAAGTAGTGTTGTCTTCACCCCATACCACTGAATTTCCAGCAGCATTTGCTTTCGTTCCTTGGTATACTCAGCAATGACTTGTTTTCAGCCTGCTTGTGCCTGCAAGCAAGACTAAGAGTGTTATTTCAAGGATATAGGCATTGACCTTTTTCTTGTGGATGCATTTCCCTCCTGTACATGTAAAAGTTCTATGGCAAATGCAAGGATGCCCAGGCTTTTACTGGTGCAGTTTCTAACACTAATACAGCACTTATCAATGTAATTCTGGCTTCTCTGTAATCTTGTTGTGGGAAGATGGCTCAGGTTAAAAATTAGAAGAGACTAAGAAATATAGGTAAAATGCATCTGTATCTCCCTGGATGGAACACAGTCGACACACCCCACAAAGATTCCCAATACAAGGATAAGCACCTGCTACTGGGGCTGGAATGGAGGGTGGGGTGGAGATGCCGCAGCCTCCCTCCATAGAAATCCCTGCAGGGAGGGGAACATGTAAGATACTGCTATTAGGATTAGAGCTTCTGCTTGCTTTGTTGTATAGTAGGTTGCTTTAAACACTTTTTTGCAGTCAAACACTATCACTGGCAACCCACAAATCTTATTAGCCTGTCACAATTTCTGTCAATAGTGTTATTCCATAAACAGTTAGAGTGAGTCCCTTATAGGTGCTACCAGTTGCTGGCAGCAGATAGCACATTGGGAAGACTCACTGAGGGGTCTCCATGCTGTTGGCTTAGTCCCTCTGGAAAGGGCAGTCAAATCACGCTCCAATCTTGTGAATCTGTTCAGTGAAGGGTCCCCTTTTGGGATGCTGTTAGACCAGTCAGGCATAAGGGTTTCAGCTTCCCTAGGGCATTGACAAATAAATCACTGAGGGTTGAGAAAATCTCCCCACACTAAGGGTCAGGTGAATCACCCCCTCTTTCTTGTGACACTTGTCATACTTAAGGACCTGGTTCCTAACCTGTAATTTTCTCATTATTTAAAAAATTAATACTTTGTTTTGACTTTTTCTCTCTGCATAATTCTTTCTTATCCATTACAAAATTTTTCTCCCTATGATGGAAAGATATTGCAGCTTGGACTGATGACTTTAATATTATTTCTCTTAAGTTAAAAATACCATAAGGAAAAAAATGTGTCTGTTTTTTCCTTATCCTTGTTCAATTTTGTTGGAATATTTCAAGGGGATGACAGTCTCCATAGGGACTCAAACAGTATGATGACTACTAAAAGATTACGCAGAGATTGGCAGGATGATCCTCTACACAGACATGCAAAACCACAATGAATGCTTTATTTCTTGGACAAATCAAGTAATACATCCTTAACGTTGGCAATGTTTCCAATGCTTTGATGTTTTCGAGTTGTTAAGTTTTGAGAATCCTTGGTAGGTTTTCTTACCACTGTTGAAGTCCCAGTCTTCTGTAGTAGGTGCAAGGGCCAGACAGTTATAACTGCATTAGCAGCAATTCTCAAGCAGGAGTAAGGGAAATCCATTCTTCACCCCAGGTTTCTTGCACATGTCAATTTCTTTGAATAACATTTTATGTATATATTTCCAGCTGATTATACTTTCCCATCAAAGAAAATACATTCATTGACTTGACTGAACACACAATCATCTTCAAAAACTCCTTTGTTAAAATGTAATTAGTTTCTTAAAAGAGTATTTTATATTTTGTGAATATATATAAAAGATTGAATTAAGACTTCATGAGTTCATTAATTTGTGGATCTATCTGATCAGCTTTCATCCTGTAAGAGTCACTAGTAGGTTTGATTTATATCAGGAAAGTTTGAAACGAGTTTTCACAATGTGAGAAAACGTGGACAAACTTCGTTAGCCTGTGTCATCCTTGTGTTATGATAATTAGGCACCTCTGGAAGACAGAGGAGTACAAGCACAGCTTTGTTCTGAATTCTAGTACGAATTTTTGTGCTGTCTTTTGATAATCTGGTTTTAATATTTGCTTTTAGGCTTATTATTCCAATTTTATTAGCTGTCTGTTTATTCTCTGCTTCCTCACTAAGACCAAGTTTCTGGAATTTTCTCTTGGCATAAGCCAAGAGTATAGTAGAGACAATGTTGTTTCTACAGTACTGTAGGCTTGTATGACAGGTGACATTTATTCAACATATCAGCCCTTCTTTTTCCTTTTCCTATAAGTTGCACCAGGAATGGGTTTTCAGTTTTCTGAGATGGGACAGCGCAACCTCTGCACAATGTGTATTACTGCTTTCATACAGCAATTTACACACCCAAATCCACCTCCCCTTACTCTCAGAGGTGCCATATTAAAGCTTCTCTTCTTAATAAGATTATCAGATTTTGCTTTTCCTCCTCTTTTGAATTCTGTCTAGCTCAAGTGGCTTGCATAAAGGAGGGGAACAGACTCATACTGCAGTCTGGATTAGAACGAGCTTATAACTCGTATAGAACTGTCTCCTGTAATATGTACCTGCTGGCAAGGGAACTGATAGCTCTCTACCCTTCCTTCAAAGACTGCAGACAGAAGAAGGTTGCCCATGCCTACACAAATCTATTCATGAGATCAAAGATGTATGTAGTTAGTTAAAAAATGTGAAAGATTTAACCCAGGAAAAGGACAGTTGCTGTCCCAAAATTTCTGTGCACCATCTGAGAACCATCTTCAGTTGTTCAGTCTACCATCTGCCATATTGTCATTTTTTTCAAGAGGACTTTGTTTCATTTTTTATAGCAAAGTGGCACCAAATATAGAAAGGAATTATGTTTTCCTTGTGAAACAATAACATATATTTAGTACAGCATCTTTGTCTATCCTTATTTTGATTTTGAAAGAAGATAACAACCATCCCCCGCCTCCTGGATGTCAGGATGGAACCAGCTTTCAGAAACCACCCATTTTTTCTCCTTGAAACCTGACCAGGGAAATAGTAGTAGTTGATATCAAGATGTATTTTCGCTGCTATTTTGAGCAGTATTTTTGTACTGGAGATGTAAGAGGTCTCTGTTTGCATGCACAGCAAGCAGATATTTATTAAGAGTACTGTAGTGTTTTAAATACCTCACCTCCTTTTCAGGGCTCCAGCATTGGTTGTCATGGAAACAGAACTGAGAACCAGAAACTGGCAGCTGAAATTGCCTCATCTGCTAGTGGCTGTGTCCATGTCTTGTCCTGCTTCCATGGAAACACAAGTCAGAGCAGCAAATGCAAGGTAGTAGTTTCCAAAAGCTGCCTTAAAAATAACCCTGAGCTTAGTGTTATTTTGTTTGTGATCATCTCCCCACCAGGCCTGCTTAAGTAGGGCTCTTCAAGTCTGCAGTATTTGTAAGTTTAACATAGATAAAAGGAAAAAAAAGGCATAAAAAACAAACATAAGTGTCCTCTTTGATTTCCTTTACTGACGTAATGGGTTTTTGGGAGACAGACTGGTTAACAAACCTTGACCTGCATAGTTACATTAACAACTGACTGCCAGAATTATCTTTGATTAATGGTGTCCTTTCTGATAATTTTTGATTATACTGAGCATGTCAGAATATGAAGAATGGTTGACATGGTTTAGTTGGTTAACTAGGCCTCATTAATTCTCTCTTAGTACTGTAACATTCCATCTCACCAAAAGAAAAAAAAAAATCAATTAGATTCAGATAACATTTTTAGTTTTCAAAAGAACTAGCTCCAAAAATCCATTTTCTATGGATTTTATAAGTTTTTATTTTTCCTCAAAAGTCAGCATCTATCCTTTTTATAAATTTCTGGACTTTTCATCTGGCTCTAACTCTTCTGTTTTGCAGTAGACTTGATATACTCAGAAGTCAGTGGCTTTCTGAGTAAAGATGCTCAGTTTTGAAAAGGTCTAATGGGTTGCCACATGTTTAGTTCAAGTACCTGTTATCCTGTTGACCTTCTTTCCCAGGTGTAATGTTCTGTTTCAGACAGATGAGGGGCCATTTTTTATCCTCCATTGTCCCAGCAAGTCTTCTGTTTTTTTGTGATTCTAGATGGCTGGAGAAATGGTAGCAGAATGTTAGATTATACTTGAAATGAGTAACTTTGTCAGTGTTGCTTTGCTGACATCAATATCTTGTAAGATATAATGTGCTCCAGAATTCAGGTGTTGCATCTAATTTGCTATTAATCCTGAGGTAATATTTATGTTTCAGTAGTTCTTGCTGAAAAAAGAATATCAATAGATAGTCTTTGTTAAAAAAATATGGTTGAGATAGTGAAATAAGTAGCTGTGTATCTGAGCTTAAGATTTTTTAATAAGATCCATGATTTGCATGGAAGGAAAACCATCACATCCTGAAGTCTGGATGTCAGCTAATAAACACAAAACCCCATTTAAAGGTCTAGTCATTTTATTCTAAAGCTTTCTCTCAAAGGTCACTAGCTAAAACTTCTTAGAGGAATATGGTCTACCACTGATTCACTATTTGACTTAATACCTGTTTCCCTATCTTGTAGGTCTCAGATGAATTCCTGAATGTTTTGAAGCAGAGAAAATAGAAAAGAGAACTCTTTGTCTGTGGATTCCTCCTGGGCTTCTTCTTTCTTTTTTAACTGAAACAGCTGTTACTACCATTCTGGAACTCTGAAAATGTAGTTCTGGCTGGCCCAATAGGTTATAAAGAAACTTCATTTCATAAAAAAGACAAAACCTCTTTTTTTTCTACTTGATACACCTCTTGTTCCTCATCAGCAGTTTTATTTAATCTGGTCATTAAAATTACTGAGAACCGCCATTTCTATCTCCATTCTTCTTTTTTTCCCCAGAAAATTTGCATCGTATTTTTATTTAATTCATTAAATTCTTGAAAGAAATTTCAAAAATGAGTCTGTGGCCTAAACAGCTAAATAATATCTGGAACATGAAATATTTGTGCACTTTAGAATAACTGTCACAATATTAGCAATATCATCTTTATAACATATTAGAACCAGAGCTGATATCCTACTTTTGTTATAATGTCTACCAGTCTTTGATATTTTTTACTAAACCTACTTTAACTAGTATTTAAAACTTCCCTTATTTATACTTCTATTAATGCAAATAAGCTTTCTTATAATTCTTACCTTTTCTCTCAGTATATTCAAACCATAGATAACTTATGAGTTTGGAAAAGGTATCAACCTGTTGTTTTTGTGTGTGTGTTTCCTTACATTGCCTCTTTTTCCTCAAACCGTAATTTCTTAGATGCTCCTCCCAAACTCATAATTTTTTGAGATGCCTTATTGCAGAAGTCATAGAATCATAGTCCTTTTCAGAAGTCCTTTTCTGTGCTCAGGTGAAAAATGGTGCTGGTCCACTGAAATTATTCAGCCAGAAAACTTTCAAATACAATGACATTTGAGGTTCCTGTTTTCTTTGAGGAAGACATAAAATCAGGTCATCACATAGATGACTCATTTCTTGAAGTAGCTGGAAAACAGATAAGAAAATTGTAGCTCAACTTCTCTTCAAGCGTTTTCAAGAATGAGTAAATCCGTGTGTTTCTCCATACTCTGAAAAAATTCCTGTCAACCTTGGGATAAAGAGAGTATAAACACAATGACAGTTGTGAAAGGATTTGAGAGAAAGAAAATTGGGTTAACAATGCACTCACTAATTTAAATCTACCTTATGTCTCTACCTTATGTAAATCTACCTTATGCTGGTTACGTCAGCCAAAGCACCTGTGTGCATATCAAAGGTTGGTGACCAGACCACTCTGTCTGCTGCATAGAGGCTTAGATTTTTGATAGATTCCCAATTACTGTTATAACTAATGCAAAATACCTTTAGATTTGAAGATAGAATGTGGTTCAACATTTCAATACAATTGTTACTGGGTAGGTTAGTTGAAAACTTTTTTTTGAAAGAAAAATATGGTCGTATCAGTTTTAAATTTTCAACATGAATACGGCAGTAAGGAATCAAGCCATCTGCATGTATTGGAAGCCCATTTCCAAATCTTCCAGTAGAAATTTGCTCCCTATTCAGACTTTGATATTGATGATTTTTCTGACTGCGCATCTTTGCAGTTCAAAGTACTTCTTTTAAGCTCAAAACATCACCAAAGGAATTTCTTGTCTTTAGTTACTTAATTATACTGAAATTAATATAGAAAAACTGGATATTGCATGAATGATATTAACAATCAGAGTAGGTTGCTATTAGGGAAGTTTCTCAGTGCTATTTATCCTGCTCCAAGCCATCTGGAGTCATCTGAATGTGCCATTGGAATAATTAAGAAATATAAAGAACAAAATGGTTTTAAATGAATTTTAATGACAAAACTAATTAGCGGACCATTCCCATAACACACAACAATCACTGCATGTTACTAATGTGTCACAAGTGACAATTTTGCAAGATAAATGGCGTATTTTGCCAATTCATCTCTTAGCAGTATCTTTCTGGATTTTTATATTTTTTTTGATTCTATAAAATGTGTCTTTTGAGATTAGTGTGTCTGAAGTGCATGCCAAATTTGCTTTTAACAGTAACTTATATTTTTAAAATAATAAAGCTAAACCTCATTCCCTTTCACGAGGGGTGAAGCGGTCTCAGTATTTCTTTGACTAATTTTGACATTTAGTAAATAAAAGTTGTAAAATCATAGAATCATATAAAAATTTGGATTGGTTTGGATCCGGTGTCTCAGATCCCTGTCCAACCTGACCTTGAACACTTTCAGGAAGGGGAAGTGTTCCACCACCTCTCTAGGCAACATAGTCCAGTAATCTCACCACTCTCACTGCAAAAAACTTTTTCCTTTTATCTTATCTAAATCAACTTTCTTTTAGTTTAAAACTATGCCTTGTCATATTGTAACAGGTCCTGCTAAAAAGTCCCTCACCTACCTTTTTATAGGCCCTGCTTAGATACCGAAAAGCCACTGTAAGGTCTTCCTAGAACCTTTACTTCCCTGAGCTGAACAGCCCCAACTCTCTCAGACTGTCTTCATAGGAGAGGTGCTCTGTCCCTCTGATAATTTTCATGGCCCTTCTCTGTATCACTCCACATCTTTTTTAACCTTTCCAAAGTGGAAACTCTTTGATCCTTTCTAGTATGTGTTCCTTTACATGCAGGCAATGACACCTCTATTATGGGTTCTTCTAAACCATTCCTGGTGCCAACTAGTTGAAGAAAATATTTTCAAAGAATTCAGTATGGATGCAGTACACTTTCAGTAGTCAGCAGGAAACATGTAAGTGATAAACAACAGAGCTGATTTTTTTTCAGAAAGAAATTAATATGCGTAATGAAAACTGAGTGGTTAACCTTCATTAGCTGTGAAAATACATATAAGTCTTGATGCTGATTTCATCTTTTAAGTTACCTAGTGACTGTTTAGATATAATAATAGGTTCTCTATGTTTCTTTTTCTGCATGATTATTCTTTGCACAGAAAAACCTCCATTGCAATGGCTAGTTTTGTTGAGCACTTTAAAATGTCGTGGCTGAATTAGCAATCATTTTGTCTTTCTTGGATGTGAGATCAAAGAGTATTTTTGTGGAAAAGCCTATGTGTACATCTGATAGAATTCTTAACACAGAGCATTATGCCAGCCATCTGACTGGAACAACACTGATTCTTTACTTGTAACAAAATCATAGCCCAGAGGATGGCTCTCTCAGAAAGACTATATGTGATTATTATGTCTTAGGGATTATTAAAGACCTCTGCACTTGATGGGAAGTTTGCAAGTTTCTCTGAGTAGAAAAGCTGGTGTAGCCAGGGCCTGACCAGAGCAATTGTATTGACTTTGTCTCAGCATAAGCATTGCCACCAGAAACAGCAAACCAACATAAGGCAGTGGTGTCATGCTTAAGACAATCAAATTAAGGCGCGTTATTTTTATTGTGTTTGAGCTTCTCTGTATTTACATGTTAAAAGAAAAAAAACTATTGCCATCTTGTGTATTTGTTTCTATACCACAAGCTAGTAACACTGCAACGTTACCCTAAAGCAAAGGAGAGCTGAACAGATCTGTTCTATTTAGCAAGAAATTCAACCTGCTATGCTATCAGGCAGTTACCTCAAACATGATTTTCTTGCAATAATTATATATATGCCCTGCTTCTGTAAAATATATGTAATCTGAGTCCACTGGACTACACAATGTTTAGATGATTTAAACAACTACGTTGAAAAAATGCTCTGAGCAGTTTACAGAATGCACAAAAAGTTGTCTTATACATTTGTTTATGTTTTACCAATTATTTTTTGTAGCCGATCTTACAAAGATTTTAGAGAGAAAACACATACTTCCTAATCTTACTGTGGCTTGAAAGCTGCCTTTAAGATCAACCTTTTTGACTCTAATAATGAACTACTAATTTAAACAGCTTTTGACCTTCTCTTACAATCTCAATAAACTATTTAGAAATACATCATTTATGTAAAGTTTGTGTTAATGTTCAGTGATAATTTGCATTTCAGGAAAATACAATTTTATTTATTAATATTTTTACATTTAATTATTAAAAGATTAACCTTTAAAACAAGTGGGTTTTTGAAATTTGACCCTTTATTCTTGCATCTCAGATCTACCTACCAAACATTACTTCGCCTTTTAAGTCACAAGACAAGCACAGCATATATCTATGGAAAAAATAAAATATGCATGAGGAAAGCTGAAATATAAAAAGTGCCTGTCAAGAAAGACTTTATATCCTGAAAAGAAGAAATTAAAACTATTTTTTTCAACAGAAACTGAAATTTTTTTTGTTTATTTCTTTCCTATATTAGACAACTAAGGTATAATAATTTGCAATGAAATTCTGTAGTCTTATTGCATTTAATATTTGAAGTCTGGCAGACCTCTTATATGCTCATTAGAGAAGGCCAAAATAAAATATAAAAAAACCTTGCTTACCACCCACCATAATTTTTACTTCAAATGTCATTGCAATATCTTTGCTTTTTTGAAACATGGATAATCTACCACGGTTATGTAGTAAATTAAACTCCTTTTCTCAGAAATACAATACTAAAAAGAACAGAAACTCCTTCCTTAAACTGAATGTTACAGTAACAAGTCCTTAAATGGTGTGCAGTGTCCTCTGTTGTTACTGAAACTTGGGAAAGGTGAAACCAAATTATATTAGATGCTGAAAAGGATCATGACTGTTATGAGAAATGGAGAACCTATTCTCCATTTCCAAAGAAGAGTTGTAAGATACCTACATGGAGAAAATTAATGTACCGTTGAATTTTTCAGATATTCCAGGGATAAGCCCATACAGAACAGCTTAACACTTACCAGCACATGCTCAGAAACAGGTATGAGTTTAATGTATGTTTAAAGTGTGGGGATATTAGCTCTGATACAGTGTTGTGAAAATAGAGACATACAGCTTCCAAAACTGATTTAGTCAGTGCCCACGTGGCTTTTCTGGAGACCTTCTTACCCACATATTCAGTTTCAGGGTTTATTATACCCAGAGCAGCCACAGGAGTACATATGCCCTAAAATCCAAGTTTAATTTATCTTATGTAACACAGTTAAAGTTGGAATTTACTCTAAAGAGATGAGAAAGACAAATGCTATAGTTCTAGCATTCAAAATTTATTTTTTCTATGTGGTTAGATGGGTGCCAGGTAAAATCTCGTATCAGTTACTTTGGACACATTTGATTTTTGGGCACTTTGACACTTTTTGACTGAAGAATATAGGAACCTGAATGGAAGACCTGTTATTTTAATGAGAAGAAGGCTAGCAACATTTTATGAAAAATTAAAAAAAAAACCCCAAA